AAAAAAAAAAGGAAGAAGGTGGAAACTTGGTAGAGTATAATGGAGACTAACGGAGTCTGTGGGAGCTAACAAAAAAAATAGTGTGTAACAAGAGTGTGGTACGATCAATGTAAGCCAATCATGGTCCAAATGTAAAAAACCGAATTGACTAACACCAGGCCCACAACAAAATAACAGAGACAGGCCTAGACTTGTTGAAACTGCCTAAGGGATCAATACCCTAAACAAGATGTCGACACTATTGCGAAATGCTGAATGAAAAGTCTCGGTTCTTGGCCTTTTAACTAATTTTGGTTTATGGAAAAATATCAAAACTGATCCATAACTTCTAGTTTTTGAGCAATTTAATCCTTAGCCTTTTGGTTTCTACAATTTGGTTCTAAAAGTTATGATTTCTTTCAATTAAGTCATTTTCTAAATGAAAATTATGTAAAAGTAAGTAAAATATTCTCATAGAACTCATCCAAATATCAATAATATCGAGATAAAAATTCTACATTACCAGATATGAAAATTCAACTCATGACTAATTAAAAGTTGTAATGATAGATACTTCATCAATACAAAACTTAAGGTTTGAGAAAAGATTAATCAATACCCCTAATCCACTCATTCTTACTATTGTGTTTGGGACCCAATTGTTATCATTCAAGTTGCCTGATAGTTTATAGTTCAAGATGCCTTAACCTACACCTTTTTTCTTCTTTGTTATCATCTCCTTTTGTGTCTTGGATGCTTCATATGGAGGCATATCTAGCCTTTCTTCTCTAGCATGTGCAAGATTAGATCATATATATCAACATGTTACAAAGAGGTTTGAGAACACATTAATATATATCATCATGGTAGATTAGATCATATCACTTCAGATAATGCATCATAATGCATCTATCTAGATGAATAATTAACAGGTCATGGAGTTCAGATAGCATGCATGCATTCTCATAATGCCAAAGCTAGTTCTTGCATATCTTGACCATGTAGTGGTCCCAAAACACAACTTTCTTATGCTTAGAACAAGAACACTTCTTAATGTGCTTACAAAAACCCCCTTGACATGAAAAGACAAATAATTTGCTTTGCATGACAGATTAAATACCAAGTATTCTATGCAAATGACTATGATCATAATAGAGACTTGGCATTGCATGTTCAATTAACTCAACACAATTAGTTAAGACTCTCATGCAATAGCATGTTTTGCTTCAGATTGATGTTTTTATGCTTGTAACAAATAACAGCTTACTTGTTTGTCATCCTCAAACATAATGAAGCATGATTACCACAAATCATAGTGGATATCATAGCATGAAACAACATAACAGGTACTAGATCCATTAAATAACTCACATGGAAAGGTTATCAAATTTTAGATCCATATTTTCACGTTCACTGACACACCAGATTGCATTCTATGTTAATTTGATGTTATATCTACTCAATATCATTCACCTATTCTACTTTTGTCTTTATTATAGTAAAGGAAGTAAGGTCCACTATCTTGACTAAAGGTTCATTGGGTGTTGAGTTGTATTATGCACCAGAAAAGAAGAAAGGTGTGCCAATAGATTCAAAGATGGATATCTTTACTGTTGGTGTCATTTCGTACGAGTTGCTATATCCTATCAAAATTGGATTTCAACAGTATCGACTCTTATTAGATAATAGAGAAAAATGAGAGCTTTCAACTGACGGACATTTGGTAATTGATATGCTTGTGAAGAACATGGTCTCTCATCATCCTAGGGAACGCTTCTCAGCTTCTGGCATCTTGGCATTGCTCTCAAGTATATCATGCATTTTACTACATAATTTTACTCTCTTGGAATGTGAAAGTGCAAACATGTTTCTAAAATTGAAAAAAATACATACAACTCGAAACAATTCCTTTTTTGGCTGATAGAATTTAAGAATGAGTTTATCGCATCTTTATATCAATGCCTCATAAGTGGTTAGCAGATTCTTCACGTGAGTTGGTGGTAAGTGCAGGTTAAGTACTAGAATTGATACCTAGGTGTGCATGCTTCTCTAGTTATTTGCAACTATTTTGATCTCCTAAGTCCTAGGGTTGTGAATTTTGTTTTACATCTAAGCTTCTTTTGTTTTCCTTTTATGTTCTTCCATTTTGACTAGGGTCGTGCCTTCTATTTTCTTTTGCTTTTCCCTGCTCATCTGTTGTTTGTTGACCATCATTACAGAACAACTCTTAGCTGGTCATTTAATGGTAAGTTCTATTATATTGGAATATGTACATCTTAGTTAAAATGCATTAACCCCTTGGATTGTGTTTCTTCTAGCCTTTCTTTGTTTATATTTTATTAGGTGGTGCATCTATAATCGAGACTCCCTAATTGATCTTTCATTTGTACAAATAACTGAGAGTGAGTGATGGTGGTGTCCATTAGCCAATTGTACATTCTCTTTCTAATATGATCACTATTACCATCTTTGTGTTAAGCCACATGTAACCCGCTATGTATGTTGTGTCTAGTCACGTGAAGGGGTGTGTTAAATGGGAAAATCCCTCATCAATCACATGGCATAAGAGTTCAAGTTCTACCATGGAAGGTTGTTGTTAGCCCACCTGATAAGATCCGAAGTTAATATTGTGCCTGCATGTAAGGCGACGTATTAAGCCACGTGATATGACCCGACATTCATAGTGGGCTTGCATGTGAAGGGATGTACATCGAGTCTAAAACAAAGAAGTATGTGGATTAAATATAAAAAAGGCTACTCTACCTATTACCAATTGGTTTTAGGTTGCATGTAAACCTTGTGTTGAGCCCATATGCACAATTTTGACATAATATCAGAGCCTGGATTCTGTCTTGGAAAGCCCATTGTAAAGGGATGTATTAAGCCATAGATAGGACCTGACGTTCATAGTGGGCCTAGACATAAGGAGGCGTGTTAAGTGAGAATCCCACATCGATTCTAAAAGTAAGAAACTTGTGGGTTAAATACAAGAAAAACAACTTCATCTATTGCCAATTGGTTTTAAGTTGGATATAAACATTATATTAAGCCCACATACACAATTTTTACCTGGTATCAAAGCCCAGATTCTATCATGTGAAGCCCATTTTTAATCCACCTGACAAAGCCCATTTTTAACCCATTTTTAATCCACCTGACAAAGCCCCATTTTTAGTCCACCTGACAAGACCTAAAATTGATACTGGGCTTACATGTAAGGGGGCATGTTAAGTCATGTGATAGGGCTTGATATTCATAGTGGGCCTACACATGAGGGGGTGGGTTGAGTGGGAAAACCCCAGATTGAGTATAAAAGTAAAAAACTTATGCATTAAATAAAAGAAAAACTACTCCACCTATTGCCAATTGGTTTTAAGTTGGATGGAATCCTTATGTTGAGTTTACATACACAATTTTCACATGGTATCAGAACCTGGATTTTGTCATGTGAAGCTCATTGTTAGTCCACCAGATAAAACTCAAAATTAATACTAAGCCTACATGTAAGGGAAGCCCATTGTTAGTCCACTTGACAGGACTCGAAGTTGATGTCGAGCCTCCATGTAAGGGTGTGTGTTAAACTACGTGATAGGACCTAACATTCATAACGAACTTGCATGTGAGGGGGCATGTTAAGTGGGAGAATCTCACATTAAGGCTATGTGAGTTAAATATAAGGAGGGTCACTCCATTTATTACGAATTAGTTTTAGGTTGAATACAAGTCTTGTGTTGAGTCCACATGCATATCAGAACCCAAGAATACAAGGAAGACTACTCAACCTATTGCCAATGGTTTTTGTTGAAGGGATGTTATTTTGTTTCTATTTCGTTGATAATTTTACCTGTTATTTGATTTTCTTCTGTGTTTGATACAAATGAGACATTCAACTTTGCATGAACACAAGTGGCAAGACACTCGAGGCATTGGATGGCGAAGCTAATGTTTAAAGTGTACAAACTTGTAATGACTCAAGAGGATGGAAAGCTAATGTTGCATAAAACGACTCTCTCATGTGTAATGTCTTGAGGGATGTCAACCAATTGTTTGGTTGCAGGATATGCAATACTGAGCGACAAACTTTATGACAAATTAAGAATGACATCAAAGCAGAAAAAGATTTGATAAATCCTGTGTTGTGCTCGAACAGAAGCTGATTATCTAGCTAGCATGGAAACTCTTCCCTAGCAGAAATATATTCAATGTGCTTATCAAAAGAAAATAAAAAGGAGCATATTCAATGAGACCCAACGCCGCAACGGTGGAAGCACGTTGGCCCAGGGTTAGGCCCATGCCTATCCCTGGGCCAAAATTATTAAAGAAAGTAAAGGACCTAATTGTCTAGGCCCTACCTCGTAGTTGGATGAATTTGAAGGAAAATAAAATATTTAGGATTTTAAGAAATTAAAACGAAAAGAACACCAAAATTGGAAAGAAAATTGGAAAAATAAATACGTAACCCATACCTTGAATAACTAAAATATAAGAGAAGAATAGATTTAATACCTTGAAAAATGTTATTGCATAATTTATTTCTTCTTGTAGCAAACCAATACAAATGCTTTGATTCATAATTTCTCATTGTTACAGTTTCCTTCTTTTCCACTTTTATTTATTTTTTTTTCTGTTTGTTTCTAGCTACCTCCATTTCCATAGCTTTGTTCAAGTGATTTGAACTCTTAAAATCAATGAAACTCATTTTTAAACAGTTAAAATTTTATTCTATATCCTCTCAATTAGATCCCTTAAAAGCCAAATATTAGCCAATACAAATTTCTCAATATTATCCCATAATTTATCCAGATTAACTTCCAACACACCATCCAACTAGGCCCTCACAAGCTTCTAGAAGAGAATCTACACAAATCCTTCTTAATTCACAATAGAAGAAGATTAAAGAAAGATTGAGGGTTTGATTAGGTTTGGGTGTCATCAAAGAAGAAAGAGAAGTTCATATATTTTAAAAGAATACACTATAGTTACAATGCTAATCATGACATGGCATTAAATAAGCTTAATGTAATATTAAATAAGTATATACATATAATATTACAGATAGACTCTTAAATAAAAAAAGTTAATTATATAATAATATATAATATTATAAATTTATAATATCAGGTGATATTGTAACTATAA